TCCCCAAAATTTTCAAATATTTTAAAAATTTTTCAAAAAATCTAAATTTTTAAATAAAATTTTTCTTTAAAAATTTTAAAAAGACAATGAAAAAATTTTAAAAAGTATTTGATATCCCCGCTGGCCAAAACCCCATAATTCCCTATAGGGCCCCCGCAACCCACCCCTCCCCCCCTTCCCATGAAGCGAAAGGGGTTCTATTTTTTGATAAAAGAAAAGCCCCCTGGAGGGATTTTTCAACAAAGTTTCCCAAAATTTTTTTAAACTTAATAAAAAAAAACTTAAAACGGGTTTTAAAAAACACCCCTGGGTTTTTTAAAACCTAAAATGTTACCAAAATTCCCCGATAGCGAGGCTTTTTAAAAATGGGGGAGAATTTTTATAAGGGAAACCCCCCCGTCAAATAAAAAATTTCAAAAACTAAACTATTAAAAGACACTAAAAATCCATGGAAAACTAGGCTTTCCCCAAATTTGGAAAAGAAAAAGGGGGTTAAAAATTTTTTTCCAATTCTTTTTTTTTTCCCCACCCCATGAAGGGGTAGGGGGTTTTAAATTAAGGGGAGAAAGAAATTTTTCCTCCCATGTATAACCCAGGCTTTTAAAATTTCAAAAAAAGTAACCTGGTTTCCCCGTGAATTCCTCTGGGAAAACTGAATAATTTTTTCTTTTAAAAACGGGGGCCCATTTTAACCTGCCCGAGATGGGTCGCTCAAAGCATGACTTAAATTTTTATTGGGGTGATTAGAAATGATCTTGATCAATGAAAACGATTAAATTTCATTAAAAAATTTTTATCAAAAATTCAAAAGAAAAAACTTAAAAACCAAACGATATTATAAAAGTTAAACCCTAAAAAATAAAAAACATTGTCGTAATATAAACAATTAATATAATAGTCAAGTAACACTAAAATCATTTCAGCAAACGATAATATTTATTCAAAACAAGCTTATTATAAAAAATGCCAAAACGTTACAGTATGACGTTCTGATGTGTTCATCATTATACTAAAAACAAAATGCTGTTCATCATGACAATTTGATAAAATTGTTCGGCCAGATTTATGTTTTAACTGGGATAAGCCAAATGTCAATTAAATAAGCTTAAGTAATATTGTACCAATTTTATAAACAGTATTAAACTACATGAATAGTGAAAAATAATTTTATATGTAAACAATTCCGACCTAATCAAATAAATGTGTTATTCTTTGAGACATCAAACCTCATCGTCAGCTTTGCGGCAAAATTCAAGTGGCTTAAAATGGCAATTGTTTATTGAATCATTGAAACCTGTAGCGTATTATTATCTTACATGTATATCAATGTAAGAAATCTTAACGAAAAGATATGATTGTCTGTTTAAAAAATTTTTTTCACTTAATTTTCTTCTGTGCAATGAAGCAATGTGTGGAGGTTTGAGTTTTTTTCGTAACAATATTTCTAGGTAACAAAAATTATCACATATACACTGATATAATTATAGCATCAGTCACGGCAGAATAAAATAGATAAATTTCGTCTGACTAAAATGGATAAATTGCTTGTTTAGCTCACTTATTTCGTTTGAAATTTGAATGAAAAATTCATCAATTAGTTTTTCTTTAACATGCATTTTATTAAATAAACTGTATAATCAAAATTGCTTTTTTTAATTATCTTTTTTGTTTAATTTAAATAGAGTAATCTTGCTGAACTTGATGAAATTTATGGAATTTTATTTGGTATGATGAATGCCGTTGACTCTGGAATCAAACACAAATACATGTAACTTAATATCAATCTTCTGTTCAGGGCCGATTTATTTCGATTGTAACAAAATAAGAACTAATTTTGCAATTAAACACTCCTGTATAATTCCGTTAAATAAATTAAAATAATATTTTATAATACTATCAAATATTAAAATATTTGAATAATGTTTAAATAAGAGTAAATGAAACATCCTCAAAATATATTTAGTAATCATCAAACATACACTTTCAGCTAGTATAGTACCAATAAGCACTATTAAAATCGGACAGTTTGTTACTAACTGCTAGTTAAATAGAAAAATCAAAGTCCGATTATCATAATGGGGGTCATTGTGTAAAAAAGAGAATATTTTAATACCAACAAATCTTAATTTACAGTTAAAGTCAGTTTAAGTAAACTTTAGGTCATTTATTTTCCTGCAGAATAAGTTGTGTAAGTTAATACTTAACCAATATTTAACCAGTCTCGCTAACTAACTGAGATTATAGCTTAAATTATATAATGATTTAAATATAGAAATCACGTTTTGAGCAATGTGAAACAATGTTCCCATTTTGTCCCATCTACGCAAGTATCGGATAATGGCCACTTAAAGAAATAATAATGCAAACTAAATCATAGACGTAACCTTTTGAATGTACTACAAACCTTTACAAAACATTTCTAATGGACATTGATTTATTCCGACTTACATAAGATTTTGTCAGAAGCGCATGGTTTGGCGCTGTGGTATATCTTGTACTTATATAAAATGCTGTTTCTCTCAGTCTCTGCGTGCGGACCAGTTATATCTTAACGAAGTCAAAATGTTCAAAATTATTGCATGTGTGCTTCTCACCGTCTTGTATCAAGGTAAGAATCTTTTATTTTATTCCGCTAAAAATCACAATTAATTATCATTATGGACATTGTTAAATGGAAAATATCTAGAGGAAAAATTATAAATTGTAAATGCAGATTAGAATAATTATGAGATAAAAATTAGATAGCTAGAGCTAAAGATTTTTTTTAAAGGAAATTAAAATATGAAGCGAATTTATGTTTTAAGGTAGTGAAATTCTGCTGGGTCACATTATGAAAATGACTTTTAGAGTTTATATCAACAGTTATACTGAGCGCACATACGAAATGATATGTCATTCTTAACGAAAATCAAGAATAATATGTGTACATGTATATGTATATATCATTTATTTAATCTATTTCAGAAACTGTTGCCTATTCTATCGATGACGAGAGTAAATTACAAACAGATTTATTAACTGGTTACAATATCAACGTTCGACCGGCTGATCAAGTTTTCGTACAATGTTCTCTTGCAATAAACAATCTGTTGTCACTGGTATGAAATCTTATTATGAAAATATATTGTCAAAAGTTTGAAATCTTATTATAGCAATATATTGTCACTGGTATGAAATCTTATTATAGCAATATATTGTCACTGTTATGAAATCTTATTAAAACGATATATTTTCACTGATATAAAAAACCATATTGTAAACGGTATAAAATCGTTATATAAAAGTCTATTCACTGTCACAGGTATAAAATGAATTTTACTTTGAAACATGTTGATTCAACATGCCGTCCGGTTAGCTCAATAGGTAGAGCGTTGGACTTTGCATCGGGCGACCCAGGTTCGATTCTCGGACGGCGCAGGTCACTCTCGTTGTGATTGATCATGAAATTCTTTCTACGGTTATTTGCATTGTACCACTACTCTGGCATGTACAGAAGTTTCAGTTCCTTGCTTAAGTGAAGGCAACTGGTACTGGTAAACTGCTTGACAGCCTGCCCAGGAACGATGCGGTGGTTGAACTGTGCTCTGGTGAATTCAATGTGGCTTCCTGTCGTGAAATACCAACACCATCACCACCAACATGTTAACACTTGTTAATACCTTGCATATTATATTGTTGAAGATCGAGGCTATAATTACATAATATGTAATGTTATCATTTTCAGGATATTGTAGATCAGACCTTAGCAGTTATAGGATCTTTGGTAGTCGTAAGTTTATTTACATTAACTTGCAAAGTTTTCATCTTACGATTCCTTAAGAGAACATTATGCTTTATATGTGTAAAATAATCATTTAAATGTGTTTAAACAATTTTTTTCGCATAAAACATCAAACAAGGAACAAATCATTATCTAAAAGAATTTCAGATTTTTACTTTTTATCGGAAATAATTTCATATTTAGTAAGTATTTGTGGCGACATTCTCTCAAAGAAATTGCTATCAGGTATGGTGGCTGATCTGTGCCACTTGTGTCTTCGCCTCGCGACCCCGCGCAGCGAAAAGTCAAGAATAAACAAGATAAAATTGCGGGGCCGCGGAGCAAGAACACGCTAATTAGCAGAGGAGCGAGGCGAAGTTTACTAAATAAAACTTCGACTTGCGGGGGCGCGGATCAAGATTTAAGAAAGAAAACTGGGTGGGGAGCGAAAACACGCATATTAGCGGGGACGTGGGGCTATATTTAATAATAAATAAAACTTGCAACCCCGCTAATTAGCGTGTTTCCGCCTCGCCAGGCGAAAAGTCGAGAATTAATAACTTCAATGGCGGGAGCGCAGAGCGAAAAACGCTAAATAGAGGTAGCATTTTGGAGAAGTTTGATAAATAGAACGTAAACCTGCGGGTGCGTGGAGCGAAATTTTAGAGATTAAATGGAGAGGCAGAGCGAAATTTAATAAATTAAACCTAATTCCGCCATCCAGCGGTTTTCGTCCCGCGACCCCGCCAAGCGAAAAGTCGAGAATAAAGTTATTAAAATGGTGGGGTGCGGAGCGAAAACACCCTAATTAGCGGGAGCGGGATTTAATAAATGAAATGTGGCCCCCTCGGGGCAGAGCGCCATTTAAGAGATAAAACGGAGCGCGGAGCGAACACACACGCTAATTACCGGGTGGGCGGGGCAAAGTTATATTTAATTAAACTTTTCCCCGCACCCCCGCAAATGAGCGTGTTTTGCTTCTTGCTCCCTGCCGTTTTATATCTTAAATCTCGATCCGCGCCCCCACGTGGCAAATTATTATTAAGTACAACTTCGCCCCGCATCCCCGCTAATAAGGCTAGCGCGCCCCGCCATTTTAACTTGTTTATGCTCGTATTTTCGCCTGGCGAGGTCACGGAGCGAAAATACGAATGGCACAAATCAGCCACCCAAGTCACGACTTTATACAATAATCTCCCTCGATGGTGTAAATGAAAAAGTCATTTTATTATAGCTATGGAATGATCATCGCCTTTCTTGGAACATATCTCAAAACGGAAACGTGTCTAATGTTTATTTCAAATCAGGTCAAATATGGAGACCTACACTTGCACTAAAAAACTCGTAAGTTACTTTATCTTATATATATCGAATTCATATTTGAACATGCATCCGATTTTTATGCATTGAATATATTTGTAAAAAAGTTTCTCATACAGTTTATAAAATTAACCAGTTAAATAATTAATAAAATTGACATTTCCATAAACATCATGATTTTCAATATTTGTCAATCGTAATATCTCTACTAATGTTACTTTCTAAAATTATTGCATATTACTATAAATTTTATGTATAATTATAGGATTCACAATAGGCCATGTATATATTTGATAACTGAATGTTCAAAATGTACAATCTTAATACTATTCTTAATCTTTCACTGTTGCGTTGACAATTACAGTGTTACTGGAATAGAAGTGATAGGCGATGACGGGAACCAGAAAAGTATCCCAATGAGTGTAAGCCCCAGTGGTTCAGTATTTTGGCTCGCACCAGCTTACTTTGTGTCATCCTGCTCAGTGGACATCTCCAAATTTCCCTTCGATACACAGACATGTGAAATCGTGGTATGTTCATATATTTCTTTCTTGTTCTAACATTTCAGTACAATCTCTTTGTTTGTTATCAATCTGAAAACATTGCGTTATATTCGTTTCTTGTAAATGCGTGTTTTTATATATGCCACAATATCAGCTACAAATTTGATGGTAAAGGTAAACCATTAACCTATTATAGGTATGAATTTGATCATCATACCAGTATTATTTTATTTTTCAAACATCCATTAGAAAGATTTTCAGTTTACAGTATAGAATGTTGCCTCTTGCCATATCGTCATTTATCACACACCCGTGCCGATTTTGCGACTCCGTAAATATGGTATTGCACGGCCGTGCATATATTTTGACGTGACGTCATTAGCGTTTTACAAACATAGTGTAAAGACGCGCAAAATGTTAGCGTTATACTATAAGCGCGTCAATGAAAAATGACTCTTATCTCACTTTAAACGGTCTTTATTTTTGGTATGTGATAAATAGAATATGAAATTCATGTAAGTTCATTACTGAATTTATTGCACTCGTTGAATCAAATAATATTATGCTCGCCAGAGGCTCGCATAATATAATTTTATTCAACTCGTGCAATAACTTTAGTATTGAACTTACACTCATTCAATATCCTCTATTTATTTCATTTCCTAAGGAACGACATGGGAAACATTTTGTGAACTTTAAAATGACGTTTAATTGTCCTGCAATATAAAACCAAAAGATAACATAATTCAAATAATAAAAAATGTACTGGTAAATGTCATCATTACTTATTCTGTTTTCAGATATCAACATGGATGTTCTCGACTAGTACAATCAAATTGAATAATGTTTATGACGTAATTGATATTGAACGTTTGGAGCAAAATGGCGAATATGACATCATACAAACGTACGCTAGAATAGATATTGACCCTTACTTTAGTTTCACCCTTGAGTATCTTGTGTTCGGTATAGAACTAAGACGAAAATATTCCTACTACTTGATTAATATCGTGCTTCCAGTTTTCTTCATGCAGCTGCTTGGTCTAGTAGTATTTGCTGTTCCGACGGATTCCGGCGAGAAGTTGTCTTTCGCTTTGACGTTGTTGTTGTCATTGACAGTTATGATGACCTTGGTAGCGGAGAAGATACCGACAACGTCATTACAGATACCGACTTTGAGTATGTCTGGTTTTGTTTAAGTTTAAGCTTACTAGAAAACATGTTTACATGTTTTACTTATTTGTCGATTTTTATCCAGTTATTTGTCCCTAGCAAATTCTATAATCATTGGTTGCTCTTTTATAATTCACTGCTGACTAAAGTGCGTTCACTAATTTGAGTCTATTTTGGCTTTTTATGACAATTATATTAAACTTTGTGAATATACTCGTATACAATTTTACATAAACCTCGATGGATCCTGCCAATGGAAATAATGAAAGTATCTTATCTTAGGGTCGACAAAAGTGGTTAAAGAAACTACTCCTTAATTAAAGTAAGGTATATTTTTATAAGATAGTGTAAAAATTATTTTATGGAGAACGGACGTAGTGTATTAAAGTATAATTTTACCTAACGGATATCTTACAGAGAAAGTAGAAGATCTATAAAACAGCAATTGTAAATAAGTATTAAAATTGTCGGAGGTCCTGCTTGATTAACATTAAGAAAATAAGCTCGTCACTATAGCTTAACACTGACACGAGTTTATTAAATTCAAAGAAGATACTGAGAGAAAATGGAACCGGAAACAATGAAGAAAACAATTCTTAACAAATGATCTAAAACTGTACACAGATATCTTTATTGTTCCAAAATGCTATGTCTAATAAGGACATTCTTGTCACAGACACTTTGATGTTCCAAAATGAAAATTGTATGTATGTCATCATACAACTTATTTTTCCTGATTCGGATAGACTGGACAATTTCCTCATTACTAGCTTAAAGCATATGGTTTGCTAAATGCTACAGCCTTCGGCTGGTAACTCCTCGATACCTTCAGAGCATATATAAATTGGGATTAAAGAAAATTGCCTAAAAATTAGGTTAATAGAAAGATTTTTTTTTAAACAAAAAGAGAGCATTCTTAAGCTATATCTAGCACTGATTTTTGTTATTGTAAACTGTCAGAAATGTTATTTACAAGATTAGTCGCATCAATTTCGTCTCACTCGTCATTTGTAATGATTTCTTGATAATGTAAACACAGCATAGTGCATGTATTCTGTGAATGCTTAAGGTTTTTAGTATATCTTATTTAAACTTTCAGGTTTTAGTACGATATCTTTTTTTTTAACTTTCAGGTTTGTATATGCTTGGTGGAACAATCATTAGCAGTCTAGAACTTATTATGACAGTGTATATTCTACATCTGAAACATTACAGAAAGGATAAAGATAAAATGTCAAGGAATATGAAAACAATTGCAAATTTTCTAGCCTTTCTTGTGTGCATGAAGAGAAATAAAATTAGTAGGTATGTTCAGAGTATGATTATCTTTTAGATTAGTTTAGTAAATAAAAGATATAATGATTACATTTGATTAATTGGGAAAGGTTCCACGTAGGAATCTATTAACACGTAGGAAAAAATTCAGACAGGAGTAGCATTTTAGTGAAATTGCACTCATAAATGTACATATAAACATGATGAATAATAGTAATATACATATTCGTTATATCTATTCTTATTAAATAGCATCTGAAACAAATGTAACAAAGATAACCGAAGGCCAAAATTAGGCACGCAAATTCTGTCCTGCAAATAAGATTATGTATCTGAAATGTATTCTGTTAATAAAGTTAATTAATTTCAGCAAAACGGAATCATTATCAAAATCGGCGAAAAACAGTCATTTAGTTGTTGTTGAAGAAGTAACTAAGGAGGACATAACCGAGAAGACACCATCAGAAAGTAAAGATGAAGACAATATAGAACAATGTCCTTACACATACGAGGACTTAGCTGTAATGATGGACAGATTTTCAATAATTTTATTTGGATTTCTTTCTTTTACGTTCACTTTTGTAATGCTTTTTATGATTTTATAAAATTATATTTATTTTGTGTTTTTTTTTTACAAATGGTAAACAATGAAATAAAACATTAAAACTGTTCACTGCATTTCACTTACTTTTATTTTTACATTAATCTGAACTAGCAGATAAAGACCAAACTTGTGATATTCTAGGCATTACAATACATTTTTCACATACTTTAATATGTCTTCATTTTTTAAAATACAGATTCCAGCAATTTATAATTGGTGTTACGGCGATAAAGCTACTAGTTATTGAACTATTCATAAACAACATCCATTCATGTCCTTTTAGATGTAAATGTTAATATCTATATTTCAATGTTTCCTCGTCAAAATAAATGATACCGATATAAAGTAGATAAAGATTGTTTCTTAAAGCTTCTAAATATACAAAATACCTGAATTAAAAAGCTAAAAAAAATTGAAGAGTTTTAAATATACTTTAAAAGGATATGTATTATATATTAAGGAGATTACATAAAAAGAATATCAAAAAAAAAAAAATATCGCGGAAAGGTTACCATGGAAAATTCATTTAATTGCTCTTGACGTATACTTTTCTTAGGATTTAATAGCAGGTGGTTATATTTTAATGTTAAACATAAATAATGAGCCATGCCAATCAGAAAATTGATATATAATTGAACATGATGTATACTGCCATTCATGTAGTTAAAAATAATAAATTCAGAAATTTCAGTAAAATTATATTTCATAGCATTTCTTTCACGGCGAAAATGATAAACAGTCGCCCGATATCAATTTACTTGTTTCAAACCCAACGATACATTTATACTAGGAACCAATGAAAAATGATAAGTTTAATAAAAGATGAAAATCATGATGATTTAAAAACAAGCCACTTGAGAAATTGAAACGTCACCTCTGAAATAATCTCGGTTTTATTATGTGTATAAAAACGTGTTGAATAATTAATCATGTAACGGGAAAATGAATATTGTATGTGAAGTTGACATTCGGGCATTAAGCTTTAAAAACATACATTAAAATATGCTAAAACATTTCAATATTGACGACATAATTTACGTTTTCTTTTTATATCAAAAGTAATTTCATTTTGTTTTGAAGATTCTTTGCAGGTTAAGTATTGCAAACAGAAAATATAAACAGGGTATATTTGTCATATATCTTACTGCATGTTAACCAATGTTCATCATTTTTGCTTTGGACGATAGTATTGTTTAGAATTCAAGAGTAACATATTTTATTTTGTATTTTGTGTATTTTGACGCGTTTTTTGTTTTTTTGATAGTTTGTGATCATAAAAGATCATGGTGCGCTTACTATATTTACAAATATGGTTATGATTTAAATACTCTTATTTTAATGAAAATTTGTATTTATCATGGCGTGCTTCTTAAATTTCATTCAAAGTAATTGAAGCACTTATCATGTTGCCAACAGATTTTATCCGGGTGTTGTAAAGACACGCCTTATTGTTTTATTTTTTCTTCACGAGATTCACATGAAATGCGAACAAACTTATCGTAAAGATAGTTTTACAGATTATACGCCCAAATTCTTAAAAAAAACAACTAAATAACGATAAGAAGATAGAATCATAATGTTATCATCTAATTTATATTTTGTATATATTATATTTATACAAGGAGGTTCGGGCTGGGGTTTAGGAATTTATCATTTCATTTACGTCCATAAGCAATTATATCAAAGTATTCTGAATAAAGCAACGTTAAAATGGTTTCTTCAATCATTAGCATAAGTTGAAAGAGACTATTTTTAAAACATTATTATACAAACATTGAGTGTAAAGTAAAAGTGTTTTTATATAACATATAAGGTATATCTAATATTAAAAAAATGATTTAGACCAATTTCCTAATAAGAAAAACTGGTGTTCGTTGGTAAGAGATTTATTATGTCAACTTGCCCTTAATGATGCTTGATTTTATCAAAATGTCGGAAACGTAAATGTATTTCTTAGTTAAGTTAAACAAAGAATTAAAGATCAATTTATTCAAAATTGGACTGGTAGACTAAATGATTCATCTAGAGCTTTATTCTACGGATGTATTGCACAATTTCAACTACAGCAATATTTAAAATGTATAGGTTTAAGAAAATTCTGTACTAGTATAACAAAACTGCGATGCTCCTCGCATAGATTATGTATTGAAACAGGCAGATGGGCAAGACCTGCCAGTGTACAATGAACGCAAATGCACATTCTGCAATGTGTTAGAAGATGAATTCCATTTTGTATTACAATGTAGAATGCATTCTGAATTAAGAACACAATATATTCTATTTTGTTACTGGAAATTCCAAATATGTTTAAATTTATAGAATTAATGAATACTGAAAATCAATGGTTAATTAGAAAACTGAGTATATATATTTCAAAAGCATTCGTGATGCGCATATGGAGCTGATTAGTATGTTATTGATTTTCATATCTGTCTATACTTTTAATAAAGCTTGACTTATAGTACTACAGCTATGTTTTCTCTTATATCATTGTTCCAATTGACATGCTGGTCAATATGTGTTAGTCATATGAATAGTGATATTTCTTCTATGTCAGTCATGTAAATGTGTGATACACCCTATTTAATATAAACTTTTACAGCTCAATTATATGTATATCTAGATGTTTATTTTACAAGCAAAACTGCTGTTATCTAATTGTTCTTCCTCATATCTTGTCATTGATGGCAATATCTGGGAAAGAGGAAATACATAAGTAAACATACCGGGTGGCTTATCTTGTATTTCGCTTTTGACAAGATTATGCCTCTTAATTTTTCAATATATTCTTCATATAAAGTAGTTCAGTAACGCCATGTACATTTGTTTGGACAATGCACATAAATAAAGCAGTTAAATCCATTTCATTAGGATATCACTGTTAATGAAGTTAAGAAATATTTTATATACCATCATACTGGTATAGCGGTGTCTATTTCTATACTGTACATTAAATGTTCATAGGTCAGTCCATATGACCATATTGATTATCTCCCATGTAAAATTGCACAATACGTAATGTTCGCTATCAGTAACCAAAATTGTTTGGACAACACACATTTATAAACAAATTTGTTCCATTTTATTAGATAACTGCTGTTTTTTATGTTAAGAAATTATATTGTAACTATGTAAATAAATTGTTAAAGGTATAGTGCGGTGGATGTTACATAACTCGATATACAGGTCGAGCGATAAGACCAAAGCAATTATCTCCCTCCCGTGCACAATCAAATTTGTTAAGTAAATGCTTTAAATATTACTATTGTCAAAATGGTGTATGCAGTATGAAAAAATGTATGTAAAATTCACACTTTCGTTCGTTATCAACATGATTTTAAACTCAGTATTCAATTGAGAAAGATTTTAAACTGTCAAATTATCTACAGCACTAGTAATAGATCTAACCTTATATGTAATGTCAGTACATTTGCATTTTTGTCATACTTTATTTTATCTTTTAAATCTTATGTTGCATATATACTTTTGACACATACGACGAACATGTGAATTATTATAAACATGTACATCATGTAATAGGTGAATATATATGTTTTCATTTCCTATGTAAAATGTGCTACTGTAATGCATGTATGAAATCATGTCAATGTCAGCTTAGTATTGATGCACGTTTGCCATATTATATATTTTGCAAATTGTACCACATAGGTCTATGACGTTCTGGAAAAAGATAAATAAAATTTGTTAAAAAACTTGTTAAAACTTGTTATCAAAGTATTTTGAATAAAGCAACGTTAAAATGGTTTCCTCAAATGATTAACCCTGTTTTTCTTGCAATGTTTAGGATTTAACAATTGAAGCATAGGTTGAAAGAGACTGTCTATTTTTAAAACGTTAATATATCAACAGTGTGTAAAGTAAAAATGTTTTATATAACATATTTTTCAAATATCATTATATCACAGGGTGACAAAAATGTGCAGCCTGACCGGGACTCGAACCCGGGACCATCGGTATATGGTACCGCTTTATTCAGTCACGGTCCCCCGTTGGGCGCCAAATGTCACAGGGTGAGACAAATGTGCAGTCTGACCGACTGAGCTTCTCCCCTAAATAGTGAACAGTTCTGAACCGTGACATACTCCCCTGCTTTATTGAAATTCGTCCTCGAATTTCAAAGAGTTACAGAGCAATGTGAATTATACTCTGAGCTATATTCAGTCACGGTCCCCAGTTGGGCGCCAAATGTCACAGGGTGAGAAAAATGTGCAGCCTGACCGGGACTCGAACCCGGGACCATCGGAATACCGTACCGTGGCTCTACCGACTAAGCTATCCGGCCGCTTACACATCTTCTCCCCTAAATAGTGGACAGTTCTGATACGTGACAATTATAAACGAGTTATGCTTAGTAACTCTAGAAACGGATCGCCATTCATAAGCTAGTACCAGTTTAGTATGGCCACTATTCTGTAAACTACTTCAGTAACTTTCTAACATACAACAATTCATTGCAGTATTACTTTAATACTCTGGTGCATCGAGATAATTAATCGAGAATCTCTCACGAACAATCTCGATCAGAACAAGTCTGCATTTTTCATTTTTTTTCTGAAAAGGAATCTTCCCTTTACAAGAGTTTTGTGACAATTGCAAAAAAAAATATAAATTGAATTGACGTTTAATTAAAGACTTGGTATTAAAGATCAACACACCACTTTCTTTATTACTAAAGATTATTTTAAAAGATCCTGAGATCAACTGTATGTTTTATTAGAAACATGCTAATTTATTTGTTATAATGCTGACACTTAAATCTCAGTTGCACTGTAAATGAAATGTTCAAGAATAGAATACACATTTAAAGCTGCACGCCTCCAGATGAACAAAAATATTTCGATAAAGTCAAACCTGGGAAAAATGTACTAACATTTTATAAAAAATATAAAGATTCAAAATTCTAGTAATAATTTACATGTTATGTGCGATTAATGACCCTTTTTTCATAATTTATAACTACATTTCTACTGAGTTACTAACGCAGTAAGGGCTATTTTTGCACATTTTGACCTCTTAATGGTAATTTACGCGGATGG